TGGAAGTATCAATATGGCTGTCATGCAGCTCACAACCATGTGTATTTTCTCCTCCAGGGAATCTGATGCCTCCAACCTCTGCATCTATGTACATTCATGTGTACCTACACACACATAAGTAAAATTTTTAAATGCTTTTAAAGGTGTTTGCATATTATGAAAAACTTCTATAACTGAGCACTGAAAAGGAGAAAGAACAATTAAAGCGTGTCTTGATCACTGAGCTGAAAAACAGAGTTAAGTTGAATAGTTCGATGAAAACAGGTGTGGTGGGAGGCAGGAATAATCTGGACATATGAAAATGTAGAGCCTGTGTTGCTGCTACTAGATTGTTTGGGGACTAGAAGGTAGGACGTGATTTCCACAGAAGTAGATTACATGATTTCAAGTCATATGAATGGTTCACTAGAGGTTCACCAGTAGTTCCACTTTGTTAAATTTATGCTCTTCATCAAACAGATGGTAAGAGCTTGTGAAGGAAGAAGTGAGTGGTATAAAGATCATTATTAACCCATCTATGTGTCTGCTTCATATTTTACAGGCACAACTGAGGACTGGAAGAATCACATTACAGTAGCACAAGCTGAGGCCTTTGATAAAGCATTCCAGGAAAACATGGCTGGATTTCCTCCAGAGCTGTTCCCATGGAAATAAACTCTAAACACTAGAATCTTATATACTGAATCTTATATGGAGATGTTTATTTTTCTGTCATTATACATGTGAATGACTGGGTGTGGTCATAGAATAAGTACCTGTTATGTAATTGTGGATAATTATTTTAAAATACAATAGTAGTAGTAATAGTGGTGGTGATGGTGGTGGTGATGGCAAAGGTGGTTGTATTGATGTTGGTGGTGTGTGCACATTTTTGTGTATAGTCCCTTCGAAGGCCAAAAAAGTGAATCTATTCCCTGCAGTGAGCTATAGTTACTGTAATATGCTTGGTTTGGGTCCTAGGAAGTGAATTCAAATCATCTACATTTGGAGTACAGTGTTCTTAACCTCTAGCTCCAAATCTTAGAATCTTGAGTCATCAAATATATGCTTTTTTAGTTACCTGTTTGTTAATACATTGTCATGAAATTCCAGTGCCCTTCATGGAACTCAGATTGAAAGCAATCTTTGTTAAATATTAAAAATAAATAACAGTACAGGAAAATGTATCTCTTTTTTACTCTGTGACGTTTGGGCAAAAATGGCCACACTAGCTGGTCAGAAGCAAGCCTCCTATAGGAAGGCTGCTCCTCCACCCATGATCAGATCCTTTAATCTACAAGTCCCATTCTGCCTCCAAACCCACTTATTCCCAAGACCTCAGCTGCTCCCCGAGATACAGACAGTGACTGCACAGACTAGACCAAAGGGTGAGTGACCAGCACCCCAGCATAGCCCAGAAAGCCTGCATTTTAAAACTGCACAACTTCTTTTCTTTTGCTATGACTGAGTCAGGAATACCTCTCTTAAAGGAGCTGTGGCACACCACCAGCAAACAGCAAGAAGCTGTGTTAAACTCTGTATTTGTGTGTCTACAATTAAGCTCTCTCGGGTTTTTTTTTAATTTTATTAAAATTTTCCAGTTTGATCACATGCTCTATCAGTCCCAGTCTGGCTGGCCTTGGTGAGTTCCCATTAGATCAGCTCCACCATCACATTGAGTGGGCACACCCCTCGTGGTCCTGACTTCCTTGCTCATGTTCTCTGTCCTTCTGTTCCTCATTTGGACCTTGGGAGCTCAGTCCAATGCTCCAATGTGGGTCTCTGTCTCTATCTCCATCCATCGCCAGATGAAGGTTCTATGGTAATATGCAAGATATTCATCAGAGTGGCTATAGGATAGGGCCATTTCATGCTCCCTCTCCTCAGCTGTCCAAGGAACTAGCTGGGGACATGTTCTTGGACACCTGGGAACCCCTCTAGAGTCAAGTCTCTTGCCAATCGTAAAATGGCTCCTTTAATTAAGATATATACTTCCCTGCTCCCATATCCATCCTTCTATTATCCCAACCATCCCATTCCCCCAAGCTCTCCCCATCCCCCCTTCTCACTTTTCTCTCGCCATCTCCTCTTACACCCACCCCACCCCCACCCCCGAGCTCCCAATATTTGCCTGGCAATCTTGTCTACTTTAGACCATCACGTTGTCACCGATTTGTAGTAAGGAGTTCACTTGTTTGTCCCAGGCACCCAGAACTGAAATAACCACACAGAAACTATATTCATTAAAACACTGCTAGAACCATTAGCTCTAGCTTCTTATTGGCTAACTCTTATATTAATTTAACCCTTTCCTAGTAATCTGAATATTTCCATGTGGCAGTGGCTTACTGGCAAAGCACATCTATCTCTGGTGGTGGATTCATGGTGTGTCTCTGACTCCGCCCTTCTTTCTCCCAGCATTCAGTCCAGTCCTCCCCACCTACCTAAGTTCTGCCCTATCAACAGAGCAAGGCAGTTTAATGTGAATCTCAACACAAAGAGTAGACTCCAACATCACAGTGTTATCTTTCCTTTTTATGGTTGAGGGTCGGGTTTTTATTGTAGATATGAGGGAGAATACAGCCAGGGACATCTGGAATAATTCAGAGAAGCTTCATATGCAAAAACAAAAAAATCCAGAACAGCCAAAACAATCCTATATAATAAAAGAACTTCTGGGGGGATCACCATCCCTGACATCAAGCTCTACTATAGAGCTACAGTAATGAAAACATCTTTGTATTGGCAAAAAAAAAAAAAAAGATGGGTGAATCAATGGAACCAAATCAAAGACTCTGCTATTAATCCACACACCTATGAACACCTGAATTTTGACAAAGAAACTAAAATTACACAATGGAAAGAAGAAAACAAATTCAACAAATGCTGCTGGCATAGCTGAATGTCGATATGTAGAAGAATGTAAATAGATTCATATCTATCTCCAAACACAAAACTCAAGTCCAAATGTAGCAAAAACCTCAAAATAAATCCAACCACATTGAACCTCATAAAAGAGAAAATGGAAAGAATCCTTCAACTCATGGGCACAAGAGACCGCTTCTTAACTATAACTCCAGTAATACAGACACTGAGCAACAATTAAAAAATGGGACCTCCAGAAACTGAGAAGCTTCTGTAAAGCAAAGGAAACAGTCAATAAGACAAAAAAAAAGTAGCCTATGAAAGGCCTTACCAGCCTCACATCACACAGAGGTCTGTCTCCAAATTTTTATATTTTTTTCTTTTGTTTTTGAGAATACAATATAATTGTATCATTTCTCCCTTCACTTTTTTCCTTCTAGAACCTTCCATATACCAATACTTGCCCTTTTTCAGATTCATTACCCATTTTATTAATTGCTATTATATATATGTATACATATATATTCCTATATATGACCTGCTCAGCCTGTATAATGTTGCTTGTATGTATGTCTTCAGGGACCCTTCCACTATTGGCGGGCCTCTTTCTCAGCCAGTCTTCATCTGTCATTCATGTCTTTTTTGAGTGTGAGTAACAAATACTCAAGGTGGGTGGGAACATGATTCTCTCCTTATGATGTGTGGTTATGAAACACAGATATTTAGCGTCTTCTGCCAAAAAGAGAGTTTTTAGATATAATCTCCACTAATGGGTGATAATTCCACAATTTGGACATTTATCTGTGTGAAAGCCATGTGAGTATATTTTTAACAAGTTATGGACTCATGTTTTAAATAAACGGTAAAGTACAAATGCATTACAATATCTCTCTGTTTTTGTGTTCCACACAAAACTCAAGCCTTATACAATCTGTGTGTATCAGACACTGCTGGTTTTCATGGATCTGAAAGTGGAGTATATAGAAGCTTTGGAATGTAAGCTCAGCTTTGCCATTTTGTAGGATTATGTTTAGGTCAAGTAAAATTTTTCTTTGAAGCTTGCTTCAGTCTACCTAATACTGTTGGTAAAGTACCAACCTCGGTTCTGAGAAAATGAGAAAACATTACCTTTAGTGCTAGTGACAAGAGCCTCAGGAAATAATAACTGTTCAGTTGAGCAAGAAAGGAATAATGGGTTCTTTCTGATACTTGTCAGTCTTTCCAGAGGCTAAGATGTTCTGGTCTCTGATCAAAATGTTCTTCAGCATGTAGCACAAGATAAATCTTTAGACCATCCCTTGCTCACTATGTACAATTTTTATCAAAATTTCCATAACTTCATGAATAATCAGGAACATATTTGCCATGTCACTGGGAAAAGTTATGATCATTATAAAGAGGATTAGAAGAATACTTTTTAACAAAGAAGGAAAGATATAAATAATTCAAATATCACTCTATAAATAAGAGGTATGGGAAAGAACCTCTCATTCTCAGAAAAGTATATATTTGGATTGTGATAGTTCTAGTTCAAAACTGTGTTATGATAGAAAATAAGTAACTTCAAACAGTACCAATTTCTCTCCCAAATAGGCTCCAAATGCAAAAGCAACACTTCAGAGTCACTGGGATGGCAAAGATTGAAAAGAGAAAATAAATTTTGTCTTCTGGTTTGCTATCTCCTGATTTTCTATTCATATACAATGAGTTGTTCTGTAATTGGGCAAAGTCAATAATTTCAAATGAATATATGGGTATTACTTTACTGTCCATGTCTCAAAGAGAAAAGAATAGAGATTAAAGATAACAAAGTGAAAATTTTTCAGATTGGCTGTCTTTTTTGCAAAGCCGAATTCCCCCAAAAGGCAACACTTTTAGAATGACACCATGGAACACATTCTAAGATAAACATTGAGTCACTCTACATTTAAGACAAAAAGATTTCACTGCTTCTGAGAGTTTGTTCATTCTTGAATTATTTATATCTTTCCTTCTTTGTTAAAAAATATTCTTCTAATCCTCTTTATAATGATAACTTTTCCCAGTGACATGGCAAATATGTGGAGGAAGTATGTGTAAGCAGACAGAGTAGGAGGAGCAGAAAGGGAGAGTATAAAGTAAGAGGCAAGGTTTGTTCCTGTGTGTGCCATCTGCAGGCAACTGGAAGTGATGAGACAACTTGTGGGCTGGCTGTTGTTAGCTGTCTGCATGTATGGACTGGATGCAGGTGAGGTGGAAAAGGCAGGGTGAGAGTTGAAGGGGAAGAGTCCAGAGCTAGTAAGGACTGAGAAATGCTGACCACCCAAGGTCCAGTTGAAATGCAGAAGGAAGGAGAAGACGAGCAAAGAAGTCAGGACCGCGAGGGGTTGGTCCACCAACTGAGGCAGTGTGCCTATTCTAATGGGAGCTCACCAAATCCAGCTGGACTGGGTCTGAATGAGCATGTAATCAAACCAGACTCTCTGATTGTGGCTGACAATGGGGGCTGACTAATAAGCCATTGATAAAGGCACTGGGAATTGTTTTTACCGCATGTTCTGGCTTTGGGGGACCCTAGTCTATATGGATGCACAGCTCCCTAGGCCTGGATGTGGGGGGGGAGGGCCTTGGACTTCCCACAGGGCAGGGTTCCCTGCCCTCTTTCATGCAGAATGGGAGAGGGAGGAGGGGATGTGGGGGAGCTGGAGGGGATTGGGAGGAAGAAGGAAGGAAGGAAGTGTAAATAATTGAATAGAAAAATAAATAAAAAATAAAATTAAAATGAATAAAATAAAAATTAAAAGAAAGAAATGCTGACCATCAACTGTTTATAATAGCTTTTCAGTCTAGCAAATCGAGAGCAGAGAGTCATGGATTCTACTTGTGTTCTTCCCCTCCTTGGTTGAGGGAGCACAGAACAGATTTTACCTGTGAAAGGGCCTCAGTATCAGTAGTTACACAGCAAAAAAAAAAAATTCATAAAAGAGGAATGCTATGATGGATTGATTTAGAAATTTCTGCAAAGTCTGTTGCTAAAGAAGCAAATAGATATGGCCCCAGATATTCTTTGCATCACAGTAATTTATTAATGCATTCTTAGCTGGCTATTCACACAAAGTATCTGTTTCAAGTGTTGAAAGTATAAGTTTCAAATACACATGACATGGGTTGCCAGTGGGGCAGATGTCTCATCTTACAGTTTAGTTGTGAGGGTCAATCAGGAACGGTAGAGGACTTCCTTAGAGTGGTCAGCATCCTGCAGCTATGTTCACAGGAATAGAGTGCTATAGAAAGTTGGGCTTTTCATGCATTGCAGCTTGAAAAAATGCGGAGCATTATATGGGGTACCCTGCATCTAATGAAGAGAGAGAATGTTTAGTTGTTGTACTAGTATGTTTTAAAGAAGTCTCACGTAGCCCAAGTAGATCTCATGTTCAGTAGGTAAACAAAGATAGCCTTGAACTCCTGATCTTTCAGCTTCTACCTCCTGAGTGCTGAGGTTACAGACAAATGTCATCATCCCTACTCAATTTATATGTTGTTGAGATCAAGCCAAGACTTTTGTGTGTGCTATTCAAGCACTCAACCAACTAAGACATATTCTCAGCTCTTAGATAAGATTAAATTTTTGTTGGTACCAAAGGTTTAAAGGAAATAAGAATAATCCAAGCTAGAATGCAATCAGTAAAGAGGCCAATTATATGATTGTAAATCTCAATAAATTTTGTGTAGGAGAAAGAAAAGCAATGCAAGATAAAATATACTCAGTTGAGAAGTGACATTCACTCATTTTGGTTAAGATGGTCACATGGCTTAATATTGTATCTTTCTTTTATTCCCCAACATTCTCAAGTGCTCTTTGCAGTGTCTTGCTATATAGAACTGAGTAAGTTCTCTAAGGTTATTATTTACATTCGTACTGTTCACATCCAGTGCGGAAATAGCCTGGCTACAAGGATTCTTTTGATTAGTTTTATAATTAGCATGCAAAATAATGGTTTTAATTAACTACAGAGTTTCTCTCATGAATTTGTATGAGATATAAATTATAAGGCATCTAAGCATAAAGTATGGTTTTAATGTATAAGTACTGTAAGGTATACAGTTAGCTATATGGCAAATGTACACACTCTCTCTAAAGCACCATTTTCCCTGTAGTCTCACTTGCTTTCTTTGCTTTTACTGATCATTTTCCATCTCTAGCCTCCTATGTCCCTCTGCCCTCTTCTGGAGCTCTCCTTCCTCCCTTCAGCAGACTTCTTTCTGATTTCAGGTCACATATAATCTGGGTGATGATTAATTATGCCAACCAACTTGATAGGATCTACAACCATATAGGAGACAAGATTATGGACATATCTGTGAGAAATCATCTAGATTATGCGAGCCTAGGCATGCTTGCAAGAAATTATCTTGGTTAGATTATTTTAAGTAGGATATACCCTTAAAGTAGATGGCACTGATTTATTGGTTTGAGTTATAGACTTTATAAAATGAGAATGGTAACTAAGCACAAAAATCTAGCTCCCTCTGTTCCACAATTGTGGATCCAATGTGATCAATATAATTTATAGATATGGAAATATATCGCTACATATATATGAGAGAAAAATAGTATTTGTTTTTGTAGAAGGAATTGCTTAATCCACTTTCCTTCAAGTGAAATAATTTCAGCCCCAGATCTGTACCCAAAAGAAAGACTCATAAATTTATGTACTCATAAAGAAATGCTGTGTCAATCACATTTTCCCACAAGTGTCTATCGAATTTTGAGTTAGAACCAACCTGAACATGAGTGCTTAAAAACAATCCCAATCCAAATTTACCTGAAAACCCTCCTTACTTTTGCCTTCACTTTTTCCCCTTGCCCTAGGTCCCTTACATATGACTAACATTTACTATGACACCAGGAATCTCCCTACAATGTTCTGGTAATTCCCAGTAAATGCCATTGCCCTTCAGAGATATTTTTCTGAGTTGAAATCTGTTGAACAACAATAAGTAGGAGGAATTTGAATTGTACTTAATATTGTGAATGACTCTAATCTACACCAGGGAAGATATCTGTAAGAGTAAGAGCTCAATCTGAAGTGTGGTTTTTCATAGTATGACATGACATTTCCTGGGTAGATATGCAGTCCCAACTTGATGTGGCATTGCAGAATGTTGCCGTGCATTTCATAGTTATTCTGAGTATGTATTTTTAGGAGATGACTTACATTTTGTCCATTATTTCTGTCTTTCAGAATTGATCTCTCCTTTACATTCCTCCAAACAAGGTAAGACAGCCAACTCTATTGGACAGACTCTCAAATGTCAGCCTCCAACCCTTAAAAGCCATTATTTTTTAAGTTCTTGCACTTTTCTTTCATGTAGCTTTTCCTTGTATTATTATTCTGATATGAGGGCCTCCCCAGGTCACAGCAGACAAATATCAAAAGTACAATTCAGTAACCAATTCCTAGTCACTTAAAAAAAAATGCTTTCTTCTCCATTGGGACTAATATAAGAGAATGTAAATTTCTTTACTTTGTTTTTTCCTTTTTCATTAACAAATAATAATTATCATGTAGGCAGTTAAACAATGTTTGGATGTATATTCACACCAAGAGTGGTTAAATCAAAGCAATTAATATAAATCATTACAACATGAATTTTTAATGGTCAGAGCATAAGCCACCTGAAGTTATTTCTTATTCTAAGAACTAGAGAATGTAAGTAGTTAGTAAGTGGAGTTGGGTTAGTGATTAAAAGTGTGCCATTCAGCACGGAACAATACATTGAAAAAAAGTCACAGTTTTACTATTGCTGCAAACAGGACAAAGAAAATGCTGAGGATGAGGAAGAAAATAGGAGAGGATGAAGAGGTAAAAGAAGGAGAAAAAGGAAGAAAAGGGGAAGAAGCAGAAGAGGAAGGAGGAGGAGGAAAGGGAGGAAGAAGGGGGAAAGAAAGAGAGAGAGAGAGAGAGAGAGAGAGAGAGAGAGAGGGAGGAAGGAAGGAAGGGGGAGGGAAGGAGGGAGGGAGGAAAAAGGGAAGGAAGGAAAAGAGAGAGACATGGTTGACAATGAGATATTGGAGAGATGTTTTAGAGATTACTTTGGCAAAACAGGAAATTTATTTTTTCCAGAATAGAGGGAAACAGATATGTCCTGGTGTCTGTCTGTTGCTGTGATAAAACACTGACCTAAACCAATTTGGAAAAGAAAAGGCTTTTTTGGCTTACACCTACCAAGCACAATTCATCATTGAAGGAAGTCAGGGGAGGGAAGTCAAGAAGGAACAGAGGCAGTAAAGATGGAAGAATGCTGCTTCCAGTCCAAAACTCCACAGATCCTTCACAGTCTTCCCAAAGAACAACACAGTCGTGGAGGTGAAACTGCAGTAAGAATGTAATGTATGAGAGAAGAATAAATTTAGAAAATCATGAGGCATCCCCACACCCGTGTGGAAGTTCATCTCTCTGTGGAAAGTTCACCTTGTGTTGATTCCTACACATGGAACTAGAAAGGTCATTGGCTGTTTTTGCACTCGCTTCTAATACAGATTTCTAAATTGCCTCCCAGGACTATTTACTCTGTATCTTTCTTGAAGAGGTGACCTGAGGTTTAACTTTCTGTTATGTTTCATCCTAAGTATTTGTGTCATTGAATTCATGCTTTTGATGTGATAATTACACATAATGTATATTAAAAGATGTGACTGAACAGGAAGAAAAGAACAAGACTGTCAAGTCCATTTTAAGGATTACCAATATCAATTTCTATTCTAATTACATTTGGTTGCCATGATAAAATACAAAAGTCAGCTTGAGAAGGAAGGGATTATTGGTTAACATTTAACAATCCCAAACCATCACTGAGGGAAACTAGAACTCAAACAGGGGTAGATGATGGTAACATGAAGGAATTCTGCCAATCTGCTGGCTCTTTGTTCCTTGTTCATACTGCTTTTTTGTAGAAAACAGGACAGCCTTCCAAGAACATCTTCCACTGTGGAATAGACCCTCCTACATCAATTGTTAGTCAAGAAAAAGCCCTACAGATATGTACACAGGCCAATCTGACAGAGAAAATTCCTTGATTGAGATTCATTCTTCCCAGGTGACTTTAGTTTGTGTCAAACTGATAAAAAAAAAAAAACTAGTCAACACAGATGGTGAGAAGAACTCTCACCAGAGAAGAACTCTGACAAATGAGATCCCTCACTGCTAAAGGACTTTCATTGAGGAAACCAGCATCTCCAACCTGAACCCATCTCTGAGACATAATGAAGCTTCCTTGGACGTTTTTGCAGATATTTTGTGTCACAAGCATGAAAGGGAGCAAAAGATACCGGCTTTAAATGTATGTGGGAGTAGTGAGAGAGCGATCAGTATCCTGTCTCCAAAATAGGCTTTTCAAAGTCAAGTCTGAGTCATGCACAATAGCTCAGGCTTGCAATCACAACACTCATAAAGCTGAGACAGAGGGACTGTCATGAGCTACAAGTAAGTCTTGGTTATAGACTGAGTTTAAAGTGTATCTGGGTTACACAGTGAGACCAACCTCAAGAAGCAAACAATTTCAAAGTTAGTTTCCAATATGAACTAATTTTATATTCTGAAATCATTCTCTTTTCCAGAAATTTCCATTGCTAACTGTGTCTTTCCATTCATCTATGGTGATGAAGTCCACTACAATTGTATCTCCACCCACAGTGACTTTGACTGGTGTTCCCTTGACTTTTACTTCCAAGGAAGGTGGAGATACTGCACAGCACTGGGTGAGAGTCCCATAAGAGTATATATAAGATGGCAGGACCCCAGAGGAAAAAGATTTTGGATTTTGGGGAAAAAATAAGCTCAGATATTGTCTTCTCTGCATAATTTGCAGAACTTGAAAACAATCCGATAGAAAAAAAATAATTGTTTTCTCCACAGGTATTAATTTGAGGACAGTGTTCTTAATGTATCCTTTACCCATTTTGCTCTGCAGATCCTCCAATGTGTATCTTCCCTTTCCAATTTAGAAAAAAGTTTATTAACGAATGTACCAAGGAAGGCTACATTTTGAATCGGAGTTGGTGTTCATTGACTGACAACTACAACAGAGATAGGAAATGGAAGCAATGCTCTCCTTACAAGTAAGATGATGGGAGAAGGTGGAACAATGTCCTATGAGCTGCAAAAGGAGCAAGACGTTAGCTTGATGAATGAGGAGCCTGAGATCTCAGTCTGTTAGCTATGACTTAGTCAGGGGCCAACAGACACTTCCTGTGAAGTATCTCCTGTTGAGTACAGCAGACTTACCAGACTGTGTAGTGTTGGTCACAAATATTCAGCTCAGCTTTGTAGCACAAACACAGTCACAAATAGAACAAGTACACTGGATCATCGGCAAATCTGACAGGCTGGTGTTCTTTTACATGCTGTTTAATAATTATAGTTGCGTGTTCATTTTGTCATTGCTGTGAAAAAACACCCAAGGAAAGCAACTCAACCAAGAAGGGAAGGGTTTACTTGGGTTCTCATTTTGCTATGGGGATACAGTCCATCATGGATTGAACAGTGGCTTAGGACAGCTGATTACATTGTGTCTACATTCAGACAACAGCAAAAGAATGTGCTGATACTCACTCAACTGGCCTCCTTTTTCCTTGCTATACTGTCTGAGGCCTCACCTGAGCTTTTGTTGCCTATATTCGGGTGAGTTTTTACTCCTCAGTTAAACCTTTTCTGACATGCATGCATTTGTGTCTCCAAAGTGATTCCAATTTCAGTCACATTAGCAATGATTACTAATTAGCCTCCTCATTATGAATGCATTGTTTTACAGTTTCAAAACTTGTTTTGAGTCAGGAAATAAGTATGAGATAGAAACTCAGTGAAACACGGAAGCAGCAGATGACAAGAGAAACATCAGTGTTTTTTCTCTTCTCCCCTAGAGCTCCCTCTCACACAAGATGTGTGCTTGTGCCGCCCCACACACCTACACAGATACAAAATTTTAAGGTCTTTAAAACATAATTGAATCTGCTCTCCCATTTGTCATCATGGCTTGGTCATTACCTAAAACATATTGTGGGAGTTTTCCCTGTGAATGCATCAATCTCCACCACTTTCTTGTGTGCATGCATATCAAATTTTAGATGGTTGGAGATTCTCCATCATCTCCATAGGAGATTTCTGATTTAAACAAATTTCCTGACCATTGACAGTGATCAATGAATTAAGTGTCTTTAAAACAGCAGGCTGTACATGTTATGTTATTTTTTTAAGTATATTCAGTTTTTATAATCAGGAATGCATGCACTCTTCTTAGGTCACATCTGCCCCGTGGACCCATACTATTCTGATCTCTCCTCAGAGAGAAAAAAACTATTTATTAGAGAAGACACATGTAATATTGATCTTTGGGCAGGAGGGGAGACTGAGACATTCCTTCTAATGTGTTCTTTCCATCTCAGTTTTTAGGTAAACATGGGTGTTTTTGAAGAGACAGAAGTTACAAATCCATCAGATGTCTCTCCAAATATAATTCTTTTATCATTACGGAACATTCTGATAATAAATGCTTGTTCTCTTGTCTACACTGGTGTTTTGCTTTCCTAGGATGGGTGGAAAGAACAAATCACATTGATAACCAATTAATTCTCACATGGTAGTGTTGTAACCCAGGGGAAGGTCTTGAGGAGGCTGGTTACAATGTGTCTGCAGTCAGGACACAAAGGGGTGGATTCTGGTGCTCAGTAGACCTACACCTGTTTCACCGAGAGACCTCAGTACATGCAATCATGCTACCCACTCTTCAGTGTGGATTTTCCATCCTCAAAATCTTCTGAAAATGCTCAAATCAAAAGTACCTCTAGTTTGAGGCAAGTTAACCAAACTCTCATGGTACCTAAAGCTTCTCAAAAGTTTTAATTTTTGATGGAAATAAATTATGCAGCTTAGAACTTTGGAGCTGAAACTCATATGAAGTACTGTGAAACACTTGATTTTAACAAGTTAAACATCTGAGTTTAACAAGTCAGTGGCATTTAATTCAATCAGAATGTTGAACAACGACCTCCACCAAGTTACAAACATTTTTATCAGCATGGAAGGAAGTTCTGTCCCCACTAAGCAGTAATCACCCACCTTCTTTTCCCCCCAGACCCTGACAGCCACAAACCTTTCTTTTACTATAAAGTTAACAATTGTGGATGTTCCCCATCACCAGAATCATATAGCATGTGACAATTTGTGCCTGGCTTATTTTCATCAAACTAATGCTTTGGAGAGTGACCCACATTTTTCCATCTCACTACTTTGTTTCTTCCTATGACCAAATAATACTCTACTGTGTGGGTAAACTACCTGTTGTTTATCTATTAATATGTATGTCTTGAAAGTGCATGTCTGTTGTGTGGAAATTGACTAATTTTCTTTTTTTAATCACATGCATTTTATTTACTTTTTAAATTTCATTTTACCTTCCCACCACAGTTCTCCCACCGCCACCACTCTCCCACCTCCCTCGCCTCCCCCCAAGCCTATCCCCCACCCACTTCTCCCAAGGGTAAGGGCTCCCATGAGGAGTCAACAAAGTATGTCACATTAACTTGGGGCAGGACTAAGCCCCTCCCCGCTGCATTAAGGTTGAGCATGAAATCCCTTCATAGGGAATGGATTCCAACAAGCTAGCTCATGCACCAAGAATAGATCTTCGACTTATTGCCAGGGGCTTGTCAGATAGCCCAAGCACCATCATGTCTCCCACATATGAAGGCTCTAGTTTGGTCCCATGGAGGCTCCACAGTTATCAGTTCCCATGAGATCCCATAAGGTTGGTTCAGTTGTCCCTGTAGATTTCTCCATCATTATCTTGACCTCCCTTGCTAATATATTCCCTCCTTCCTCTCTTCAACTGGATTCAAAACCTGTTACAAGTGTCTCTCATATTTGGATTTAGAAATTTATATCTTTCACTGGGTTAAGAAAACTACAGTCTCACTGATTATATTGTCTATCTTGTTAGACTTTCTGTACTTATCTTTCTACACCATGGATTCTTGGGGGTTTGTCTCCTGAATATATTTAAGTTCTTGAATTTGGGCCATGCTTATCTCATCATTTTCTCCCTACCCTTTTCTATATATGTGTGTGTATGTATGTGTGCATACATGTCTGTGTTTATATGCATGTGTGTTCATGGGGGTGCAGTTGGCTGTGCCTACATGCTTGAATGCCAGATATCAACGTTGAAAGTTTTGAGCTCTAGCTCACCACTTTATTTGGGGTGATAAAAGCAAGGTTTCTCACTAATTGTAAAGCTCATCATTATAGCTAGGCTGGATGGCCAGCAAGCCACCAGGATCTGTAGCTTCTACCACCACCCCCAACCCGTGCAGAGGCTATAGATACAGAAATAGGTTAGTATAGATATAGAAGGTTGTATGAATTTAATATTGTCTCAACTTGTTCTATCTTTTATCCCCTAAATTCATTCCTTTGATTGGCCTTATCTAATGCTGACACTTGTCGTGGTGCTTTTTATTTAATTGATTGATTCTTTTATTCCGGTATTTATATTTGGTTCTATTCTAGGCTCAAGTACTTTGCTTAGCCTCAACTTCATGCTATTGATGTTTCCTCTAAAGGTTTGGTCATGTCATCCATATTGTTAACTTTCTCCTTTAGACAAGTAATTGGGCTTCTTGCTTCATCAATCCACTTGAGTCTTCTATATTATTGCTAATCTTTTCATTTTTTATTTTTATCTTTTTTCTTTTTATTATCATTATTATTATTATTATTACAAATTTTCACCTCCTCCCATTTCCCTCCCCCTCCCAGAATCATCATCCCCCTCCCTCTCCAGTCCAAAGAACAGTCAGGGTTCCCTGCCCTGTGGGAAGTCCAAGGTTCTCCCTCCTCCATCCAGGTCTAGGAAGGTGAGCATCCAAACTGGCTAGGCTCCCATAAAGCCAGTACATGCAGTAGGATCGAAACCTAGTGCCATTGCCCTTGGCTTCTCAGCAGCCCTCATTGTTCGCCATGTTCAGAGAGTCCGGTTTTATCCCATGCTTTTTCAGTCACAGTCCAGCTGGCCTTGGTGAGCTCCCAATAGATCAGCCCCACTGTCTCAGTGGGTGGGTGCACCCCTTGTGGTCCTGACTTCTTTGCTCATGTTCTCCCTCCTTCTGCTCCTCATTGGGACCTTGGGAGCTCAGTCCAGTGCTCCAGTGTAGATCTCTGTCTCTATCTCCATCCATCGCCAGATGAAGGTTCTATGGTGATATGCAAGATATTCATCAGTATGGCTATAGGATAGGATCATTTCAGGTTCCCTATCCTCAGCTGCCCCAGGAACTAACTGATCTTAATTAAGGGAGCCATTTGAGGGTTGGCAAGAGACTTGAATCTAGAAGGGTTCCCAGGTGTCCAAGGAGATGTCCCCAGCTTGTTCCTTGAGCAGCCGAGGATAGGGAACCTGAAATGATCACTAAGGAGGTTGAGCATGACCTTAAGTGTCTTTTGGCCATTTGAACTTCTTCAGTTGAGAATTCTCTGTTCAGATCAGTACCCCATTTTTAATTGGGTTAATTAGCATTTTAAAGTTTAGTTTCTTGAGTTCTTTATATATTTTGGAGATCAGACCTTTGTTTGTTGTGGGGTTGGTGAAGATCTTCTCCCAATCATTAGGTTGCCTTTTTGTCTTAATGACAGTGTCCTTTGCTTTACAGAAGCTTCTCAGCTTTAGGAGGTCCCATTTATTCAATGTTGCCCTTATTGTCTGTGCTACAGGGGTTATACGTAGGAAGTGGTCTCCTGTGCCCATACGTTGTAGACTATTTCCCACTTTCTCTTCTGTCAGGTTCAGTGTGTTCAGATTGATATTGGGATCTTTAATCCATTTTTAAATGACACATAAACATGATGATTCAACATATGTATGGTGTACCATCTGATGTGTTCATGCATGCATATATCTTGTACTGTTTAAAGCAATTCAAACATATCCATCTCTTCAAATATTTAGCATTTCTTTATGATGAACAGTTAAACAACTTTTATTGTTGTTTTTTGGATACATAGTATACCTCTACCCCTCTTTGTAGTTTACCACAGTGTTTTCCTCTCAATAAATTGTTAAGATCAACTTT